TATAACCTGCCACTAACAGAAAAGCGGATTCCGAAGCTACCGTAGAAGCTTGGACGGTTAGTAAATCACGGGCCATGGCGGCTAGAATCGGAAATTGTGCTTCCTTTTCTTTCCACCAAGCCAAAATATCCAAAGTTTCAAACTCTTCAAATGTCATTTTTGATAGAAAATCGCATGACATGTAATTTCCCAACTCGCTACTTGGGGTGGTAGTACGTGATCGTTGGATTGGGAATTTACAAGAGTGTTAAAAAGATTCAAATTATGTTACTTGGACGTCTACTAGATGATTCCGCATTCATTCTCATTTGATCGTGTATTACACTACTTGATCCGTATTTAGTTAAATAAAATGCAAACATGTCTCGAAAACATTTGTTAAAATAATTTATTTGATTTTGGACAAAGTTGGGTTCATCATCGGTTAGATTAAAAGCAAACGCAATTTGTTTAATTAGTGTTTCAACCCCACCAACATTTAACGTTGGGTTTAAAGCGGCGACACAAGTAAAAATGGGGGGAATCTCCTTAAAATATTTTAAAAGTTTTTCCTCATTGCAAAGCCAATTTCTTAAAAACTTCGGTTTCAAATTCAAAGTCATTTAGTCAGGTAGCCAACAAAAATATTTGATTAAGAACCAACGGGCTAGTAGGGTAATAAACACCGGAAAAAAAGTTGTTGCATTTTTAAAAACCTCAAGCAAATCGGTTATTTTGGCTATAGTTTCCCAACTCGAATCCGGATAAATGTTTGGGACATGACCCCTCTCGAAAAGCCGATCGTGAAATGTTTGCAATGTTTTCCTTTGCCTTAAGGCAGTATGCATCATCATCCAAGTTGAGTTCCAACGAGTTGGACAATCCAAATTAGGACCCAAAGTTTTTTATTAACGGACTTACAAAAATCGTTATAATCATTTAGTCTTTTGTTGTTGTTACAAAGAACCGATTTATCATTGTTTTAAATTCTAATCTAATCGGCTCAATAACCTCCAAACCGGCTTGCACGGATAAATTAATTATGTGTGCAACGCAACGGGTATGAAAAAATGCACCGTCTAAAATCGGTGAAAGTAATATTTTCAATCTTGGAACCGCGTTTGTATTATTTGATGCATTATCAAATGATATAGAAAAAACTTTATTTTCTAATTTATAAAGACAAATTACCCTTTTTAAAAGTGTAAATAAATTAGCACCGGTATGCGGCTCACCGAATAATTCAAACGCGATTGTTCTTTTCATCATTTGCCAATTATCTTGATTTACCCAATGTGACGTAACGGCTAAAAAAGAATTTCCGGTATTATGAGGGGAACTCCAAACGTCACATGTAAGCGACACACCATAACGGTGTTCTTAGAATCCTAAAATCATTTTTTCCCTCGCCGTACGCCACATTTTTATAGCATCTCTTCTAAGGGTAGTACGACTTACTTGAGTATAACGTGGTTGCATTAGTTGTTGAATTGTTATCGTGAAATCTTCATCATCAAAGTGGTCGAACGGCAATGCTTTTGTAATCACGAACTTTGTAAACGCTTCTCGTAATTTTTTGTTGTCGTAAACAAAAACACCACATTGCGGTGTAAGATTCGATTGACTAGGATCCGATCTTGAGCGAAGTGCCTTGCATGATTTTGTCAAATGGTTCTTCAACGTTGTGTTTCCTTCCGATGTAAGAAACTTTAGACAAAGTTTACAATGCGCCCCTCCTCGAGCCATTTGACATCTCACATAAATCGTAGTGATCCCAAATGTCTTTGTTTCGAGTGTGTTCGTTCACTCTCACGACTTCAAGGTTTCCCCCGACGAAAGATTCAGCCGTGTTACTCATGATGAACACAAAATTACAAAAATAAGATTTGAGAGATGTTTAAGTGTTGTGTAATAAGATTTGAGAAATTTGTAATCAACCAAATACATTCCCAACCTATTTATACATGTTTAGGGTGGTAAAATGGTAATTTTTTTAAAGGAAAAAACGGTCAAAAACGGTCACAAAACCCCCCAACGGCTATATTAACGGCTAGTTTTTTAAACCCAGACCGATTTTTTTCCGGATAAAAACTGGTTTTTTAACCGGTAAAAAAATCGGTCTAGGTTTTTTTCTCCAAACCGGTTAAAATAACCGGTTTAAAAAAAATCTGATCCGATTAAAAAAAAACCGATTTTTCCCAAATCCGATTTCGGATATTTTTTTCGTAAAATCGGATATTCGGATTTTTTGTGCACCCCTACCTCCAAACCATTCGTTCCTTTTAAAGTGAAGGGGATCTTCGACATGCTCCGCGTCGAACCATCCGGAAAAGGAATCCTCCGCAGTCCCAGCCGTGGAATCGGCCACAATCCGCGAAGCACCGTTAGGGCTTCATCGTGGGCGCCTCAACGAGAACGGCACGTGAGTCCGAGGAATGAGCCAGGCGGAGCTGGGAGAGCTCGGCGACCTCGTGGCAGTCGAAGAACCCATCACCAAAAACATTAAAAAAGGGAAAAAAAAATTGCTCGCCCAACTAAAAAAGTGGAGAATTGAATTGAAAACGAATGATGAAATTCTTACTTGCGATAACTTTAATATAATATTAAGAAAATGTGTTATTGATTTTGTTATTATGTTTTTAATAAAATTGATAAAATATTACTGAAAATATTATTATCTCCATCGATTTTGTTATTATTGAGTGTTTTATCGATTTTGTTAACATATCTGGTAAAGTAGTACTAGTTTTATTATTATTGGTTTTTTTATCGGAAATATTAAAAAACATTAATATTTTATGTAGAAATAGTAATATTTTCGATAATTTTTTATCGATTTTGTTAAAAAAAATAATAAAACCGATAACATTTTTTTTTAATCGTATATTAAAACTGTCGTACGGTAGAATGATTCATTTTGGTTATCATTGTTTATATATTCGATGAGTACCGAAGTTTTAAGTTTCATTAATCTCCGTTCCTTAACTTCTATTTCTCGTCTAAATCAAACCGTACTACCCGGAGAATCAACTTTACTTGTCTGTAAGAAAATGATTTTCTTTGTAATAAAACTAATTTGTATTTATTATTATTTTTGAGTTATTTAATTAAATTTTTAACTCTTTTTCTTATTCGATACATTTTCATTGATTGTTACTTGTAATTATCACATAGAATAACAAGTAGACTATATGATATTATTATAATTTATTCTACTCTGATTTTGTTGTATTTTTACTTCATTCAATAAAACTAATTAGTAGTATTAATTAAAAATAGATCAAGACATGTTATCAATATTTAAATGCTAGAATTAACTCAGGACACGTTATTTTAGCAATCAAAGTGATAGTTGTTATCTCTATAAGTATCGAATTTAAGTATATTGTATATCAAATGTGTTTGAACATTCACGTCATTAGAATCTTTCAAATAGATAGTTCCTTATAAATCACTCTAAGATGAAACTATTTAAAGACTTTTTTTATTAATTTCATCAAACTCTAAGGTAGACCTAAAGGGGTTGAACAATGAGAGGGAACCCATAGGTAGGCCAAAGAGAAAGCAAATAAGAGGGTGAATGGCGATAGTTTGGTGAAAGGGAGAAGGAAAAGGTGGAGAGCATAAGGGTTAAGACAACTTTGTATTCCGTGCATGTCCAATTCCTTCCAACACACATCCTCCCCCCAAACCCGAATGGCATGAACCCCATCTTGTGCTTGCACCCGCCGTACACAAACAATGAGAGGGAACCCATAGTAGGCCAAAGAGAAAGCAAATAAGAGGGTGAATGGCGATAGTTTGGTGAAAGGGAGAAGGAAAAGGTGGAGAGCATAAGGTTAAGACAACTTTGTATTCCGTGCATGTCCAATTCCTTCCAACACACATCCTCCCCCCAAACCCGAATGGCATGAACCCCATCTTGTGCTTGCACCCGCCGTACACATGATCGTCTCTAAATCTCTCCGGCCGGAACTCGTTAACGTCGTTGCCCCATAGAGCCGGATCATGGTGCATGGCGACCGTGTCGACCCAAATGTTGATTCCTTTAGGGATAAGGACATCGTCCACCTTTATATCTTCTCTTGCTTGCCTTTGTGCATTTGGGGCTGGTGAGTAGAGTCTTAGTACCTCCATCACCAATCCCATCTGCAAATCATTTATCCTTAGCTATAAAAATTGAAGGATGAAACTGACACAAAAAATAATAAAATTTTCAAAGTAAAGGTTTATCAAAATAGAGAAATTAAATATTAGTTGTTATGCATTTATCTTATATCATAGGATGATTTGACACACTAATTTATAGATTTTTTTAACTAATCACTGTATCAAATCTATTGATCGACTAATCCAGATTAGGTTTTGGAGAAGTCTATTATGGGAATAACTCTCCTAAATAGGGATGGACATGGGTCGGGTTAGATTTTCAACCAACCCAACCTGATTCGAAAAATAAACCTCCTCTATCCGAACCTAACCTGACCATACCTGAAATAAATATATTTATAAAAAAATATTAATTTTATTCAATAAAATAGGATCTAATTGAAAAAAAAATAATATGATGAAGAAGAGTATTATTACAATTATCCCTACATGTATAAGATATAATAATATTATTTTTTTAGTCAAATCAAATATTTTCACCCTTAATGTGAACACAATCCGGCCCAAACTTCTCTTTTATAAAATCTGACTCAAACCTGATTTTTTTATAAAAAATTAAAGAGTTGGCCCACTCAATTCAGATCGAGTTCAAAACCCGTAAAGTTCGGCTCATATGCCCAACTGCACACCAATACTCTAAACCAAGTTTGCACCATTAAAAAACAACAAGGTTCGCCCTCCTTACCTTATTTAAAGTATTGGTGTCTTATCCCACTAAAGTAAATAGGTGCTGGTATCTATGGAATATAGAGAGAGAGAGAGTAAAAAAGAAAAGTGGTCTAAATCAATAATTGATTTACCCTGTTTAAGTCCGCAAGTTTTGAGAAATGGATGTCACCATCTCCAAAAACTTGTGTAATTTCGTCCCTCAATAAGGTTTGCCATTGTGGATGCATGGCCAAAAGCAGCAACGTCCATGTGAGTAACAGTGCAGTGGTTTCATGGCCACCGAAGAAGAAAGTCTTGCACTCGTCAATAACCTACCTTCCGCTAAACCTCTTCCCTTCCATCATGTACCCGACCAAGTACGCCTCATCCAAACACTTGTTCTTCTTCTTCTTCCCAACATGATCTTCTATGACCGACATGAATAGCTGGTCGATTTCCTTACCAAGTTTTTTGGCTTCCAAGATTTTCTCGGGAAAAAGCCACCTGCTGAAAGGAACACCCACATAGCGGTTGGAGTTAAAGAGCGTGATCTGCATGGCTTTCAGTTTCTCAAACACTTGACTCCCGTTTCCGCAACTCAACCCGAAGGTTGCCCTAGCAATGATCTCCCCCGCCATTGTTGAGATATCTCTTTCGACGTCGATCTCCGGTTTACCGGAATTTATTAGGGTTGTCCACCTTCGGAGCATCTTTGTGGCCGGTTCCACCATCAAGCTTACCATGGCCTTCATGTTGGGTGGAGAGAATGCAGGAGAAATAACATGGCGATGGCGAACCCAATCATCTCCTTCAACCATCACCAATCCACTCCCGAACATAGGCTTCCTATCGTGTTTGAACACATTGGGTTTTCCCCAGAATTTTCCCTGTACTTTCGATGACATCTTCTTAAGGAAATCGGGTTCTGCAATATACAAAAATGGCTCAGTTCCCAGCCAGTAGATGAACACTTTTCCTGCAAAACAAACACACACACAAAAAATCAAGGATTCTCATTATATACGAGATTGATCAAAAGAAGCTAAAGATGAGTTACCATGAGATTTTTGCCACCGGGAGAAGTGAGGGAACACAGTGGAGTGTATATCATGGGAGATAGTTGAAGAAGAAGAAGAGTCATCTTTCATATTCTTCTTACTAACGGTTTTCATGTCTCTAATATTTCCCAGAGGAAAAGTTGGGGTCGGACCCCCAAACACATTCTTTCCCAGCTTATCGTAAACAAGGATGGGCAGAATCCAGCAAGAGAATAACATTCTCAAGAACAAATAGAGAGAAAAAGCCACAATGAGTGAACTGAAAAAAGCTTGGAACAGCTTCAAAAACTCCATTAAAATGTATGTGAGCTCTCTCGATATGTGATGATCGTAGGGCTTTTGTACAAGAGGGGACATGTGGGAGTGGGTTAACTATTTGGTGTTGAATCTTATTAAAAAAAGGATCAGCCACTGTAATGTGTTTTCTCGTCTTTTTCTTGTCTTATATAAACAATTACTTGCAGTTGCGTTACATTTTTCTATCTATTAAAGCCTCGGTCATGAAAAATTATTAAGGGATCCGGTTGATAATGTTATCTGTTATTTTAATTAATTAAATTTATTTATTTAATTGTTTAAAAGTAAATTTTTTATTTTTTCTTAAATATAAATAAAATGTGAGTAACTATCTAAAAATTACTTTAAAATATATTAATTTTATTAGTTAAGACTATAGATGACGTGATAAATCGATTTTATCAAATTATATCTCTTTGGTCATAGCCTCGTATGTAAGTATCTGATGTGAAACACCGCTTCTAGCTTCTTTTGCATTCCACCAATAGGTACTCTCCATGTCGTATACTTTCAAAGTGTCCACATACGTTTCACTTTTTTGAGTTCTTTGTACGAATCAAATTATTTAAGTAATTAAGGATTATTATTATATTTTGAAGTCTCAACTTTAACCTATATATATATATATATATATATATTAAATGATTAAAGATTTTTTTTTTTGAATAGATACTATATTTTATTTATTTTGTTTTATTTTTTAAAGGAAAAATCTCAATTTTAAAGTAAAATCCTTATTGCACTGGGTAATTTATCTTTCACAAAAATCGGTGTACTTATCAAGACAAAATTAGGAACGCTAAACTTATTTGATAAAATAGAACAACTCAAAATTTATTTTGCAAATTATAATAAATGTCATAGTATAATTGGAATTCATCATGTTTATTTTACGAACTCTCCTAAAAACTAATTTTTATATTGACCCACGGAGTGTGGGCTCAACAGACCAAATAATTTTTCATTTAATTTATTAGAATTCGTGATATCAACATGATAAGCTTAAAAAAATAATTTTTTTATCGTTGATGATTTTTTTTATAAAATTTTATATTTTTTTAAAAAAATAAGAAAAACCGTCATTAATATAATAATCAATGCAGCAGATTTTCAATTAACTTGAGAATTAACGACTAAACAAATATCTAGCATACTAAATGTTCTAACAAACTAAATTAAAAAAAAATAGAAATCTGCGTGTACTTGTTAATGCGTAGTTAATTATAAATTATTAATGGTAAAAATGATATTTTAGATCTCATACTATTGATTTGACGAGTTCTACTAATGTTTTTTTATTATGATAAATACCCTCAATCATTTAACAATAAACGTTCAATCACCCTGCTATTATAACAGCTAGTGCTTAAATCTGTGACCTTTAAAAACAACAACAATTCATTTTGTAGACATCAATTTATTTTATTTTATTTTATTTTAAAATTTATTATTATTATTATTATTATTATTATTATTATTAATATATATTATTTATTAATATTACAAAACCCAAATTGAGGCCCAATTATAAACTTGGTGGCCCATATCCAGAAGCTCAATGGAAACCCTAAACCAGATTAGGGTTTTCCTCTTCTCCCAGCCGCCTCAGCTTGCCACCGTTGGATCTGGCAAGATCCAACGGTCCAGAAATACCCACAAGGAACCCTAGGGTATCATAACCCTAGGGACAGTCCCAGCTGCCAGTGCCACGCCACGGCGCCGCCGCCTCGTTGAAGAATCCAGAAGCTTTGCTGCTTCAACCCGCCGCCCACGTCGCAAGCTCTAGGGTGAGTCACCACATAGCTCGGTGACTCACCGACTCCACCTTTCGGACCGGTCCGAGACAGACGCCGGTGATGGCTATAAAGCCATCACCCAACCTGCAAAGAAAAGGGACCCCCAGCAAAAAACAGAGAACAAAAAAAAAGGGAAAGAAAGAAGCTTACCGAGGAGCCACGACCGCCGACCTCACCAAAACCTTCGAAAAACCGAAGGTATATTTCTTAGATTTGCTCCGATCGGGAGCCGTTTAAAAAAAGACCATCTCGAACCGTCATTAGGACGGTCCGATCTATGTTTTAGTATAAAAAAAATTTTATTCCGGCCATCGAAGCGAGAAACGAGAAGCGAGAAGCGAGCAGCTGCCGGCCGGATAGCTTCTCTCTGTTTTAGAGAGAAGCGAGAGAATTTTCTCTCTCTCAGAGAAGAGAGAGAGAGGAAGAATGAGAAATGAAGCTGGCCCTTCGGGCCAGCTGATTTTGGCTTTAAATAGCCCTTCCCGAACGACGTCGTTTCGGGGAGGCTATTTGTGTAATTAATAATAGTTAAATCCTTTTCCAGTCAGCCTAATTTGTAAACTTTACATTTTAGTCACTAATCAATTTATAATCCTTTTAATTCGGTTCTTTAATGTTAATTTTATTTATTTTAGTCCTTTGTATTAAAATAATATATTTAGGTAAATAGATTTAGTCCTATAATTTTAATAATTAATATTTTAATCTGAATAGTATGTTTTAATTTATTTTATTCTAATATCTGAATTTTATATAATTTTATTTTAGTCACTAAATTAATAAATAAGAAAATAGCATGTTTAATCCCTATAATTTTGATTAATTATGAATTAGGTATTTAATTTTAATTTTACTATAATTTAGTCACTAATTTTAAATCTTTTCATTTATTTTACTGCTTTAAAATATATTTTCTAATTGTATTTTTATGGTTTTAATTTTACTTGTTTATATATTTAAATATTTTTATTATTATTATGTAGTCATAAATATATATACATAAATAATATTTATATTTTTTTTAATAAATTATTTTTAACATTTATTTGTCAATATCAAGAAAAGGGCGTCTTAATACACTGTATGTCCTATTCTGGTATTTTAAAATTAAATATTATAAAAAATTATTATTTAATTTTATTCAAATTAATATTTATTAATATCAAAGAAAAGAGCTGTCTTAAGGCACCTAGAAGTCATTTTCCGATATTTTTTAATTTTGAAATAATAGGATTATAAATTAAATATATATTAAATTTTTAAATTTTTAATAATAGAGACAATTTATAATTAAAAAGTACCAATTTTGGGCGTTGTAGGGGTGCTAATCCTTCCATAAACGTAACCGACCACGAATCCCTTTTTATTATTAAAGAACGAATTTTTGGTTATAAACGCAGATCAGTTCATTTTTTAATTGATGTTTTCTTAAAACTCTTTTAAAAAAATAATTTTTAGGTATTCGACCTACCTGACCCAAAAGGCCGATGGCGACTCCTAAATTATTTACAAAAACCATTTATTCACATCAATTTTCCCGCCAAATAAATATTTCGTACCCGGACGAAAACCGGTTACGACAGCTTGGCGACTCCGCTGGGGACCTGGTTAAACTTTTAAAAATCAATTATAAATTGTCTCTATTAATTATAAATTAAAATTTCATATATTCAATTTATAATTCTTTTTTTATATATACTATTATTTTTATAGTATTTTATATATTATTAATATTTCATTTTTATTTGCAAGTATTTTATTTCATTATTTATTTTCTGTCAGAGGTTTGAACATTTCTCCTCACACACAATACTTGCATTGCATAACATAAGCTCTATAATTGAGTTTGTCCCTTTAAGTGGGAGTGAAAGCGACGTCTTCGTGAGAATTTATTCTCCGTGTCAGACCTAGCAAGTAACTTTCGGGTTCATATGCTCTATGTCTTCGTGAGAATTTATTCTCCGTGTCAGGCATAGAGAAATGTATCCCCTCGAATTGAACTCGATCCATTTAGTCTGTGATGGACTAGATGAGGGTTAGCAACCCAAGGGGGAACTAACAAGGACAATTCGGTACCTTTATTCTTAGATCTGAAACCTTGCATAATAAACCCTAGAAACTCTTCCGATCTGAAGTCATGCCGAAATAGGTGTACACACAGGAGAAATGAATTCTAACTTTCCTTTTAATTAATTTATTTATTTTCTTACTGATTAAATTACATGTGAATTTAAATTATTTAAAGCATGTTTAAATAAAGATATTTAGGTATATATTATTGTTAAATTTCTTTATTATGTAAACTATTCATTCTTTTTGTGTGTTCTTTATTTTTTTCTTTGCATAGCATCATACAGGATAAAAGGAATTGATCCTCGTGTTAATTGTCTCATTGGAAAGCCTTCATCCATGGATAAAAAGTGTTCAAATCAAATAATTCTAAACTCAGAAGTAAGACAGTGGGCTGAGGACTTACAAAGACAAGGAGAGACAGTCTGCAGATGATTATGTATCAGACTTGGCTAGTTATGCTCCAGCTTCGCTAAAAAAAGACATGCAAGATTTGCGAAGCATTTGGGAAAGTTGGGACTCAAACAAAAATTGTAGTTTTATCAGACTTACGGAGACATCCCATATTTGCTCTATGTCGAAGTTGATGATTAATTACTCAGAGCCCTAATTCAATTCTGGAATCCATGGTACAATTGCTTTACTCTCAATAAGGAGACTTGGTCCCTACTATTGAAGAGTACACAACTTTGTTACATAGAAGGGGCTTTGGAGAATCGAATCTATTCAAAGTCAATTAAAACTCAACCCTTTCGAGTTAAATTAACAAAGATTGCCGGGTACGAGAAGAATGGGTGGCATCCCGTACAAAACAAAAAGGCGAAAGCGAAGGCATTGCTTGGACCAACATTAAAGAACTTATTCAGAGTCATCCAGACACTAAAGTACGATTCGATCTATTTGCTCTGGGTATGTATGGTATGGTCATCTTCCCAAAATATTGGGATATGTTGAAGCTGCAGTGGTAGATTTGTTTGAACAGCTACCGAAAAGATTAATCCTGCTTCTGCAATTCTAGCAGAGACCTTCAGATCGTTAAATGCTTGTAGAAAGCTAGGAGGTGGACGATTCTCAGGGTACCCAGTTGTTATATGTTTGGGTCCGTAGCCATTTCTGGAAGACAGAAAAGGTTTCATACCGACGCTTTAATACGGATTACT